TCATCAAAATTTTAATTAACATTGATCAAGACCAAAACAATAATCAAGTTACAAAGTACAAAGCATTATTGATGTGACAGCATCTTTAAAAACTTTCTTGCATAATTTGAATTATTAGAGATAATGCAGCAGAAATTCATTGTTTACGGGTTATAATGAACATTATAATTTAATTATAATTAGTTTACATTATAATTATAATTAATTTACCACCTTTATCCTTAAATGCTATTTTTTTTTTTTTTATTCTGATTCACTCCTAACTAGGCTGCAAGCAAACACTAATAAGTTGGGAGTTACTAGAAAAAAGAATAGAAGACTTGAAAAGTTGAAAGTTGTATGAGTTAGGAAAACATGAAGATGAGAGAGAGCTTCAAAACGTTGAAGTGCGGGAAAAAAACTAGTTGAATAAAAGTTTTTAGAGCATGGTGGGACAGATACAGTTAGACTTTACTGAATGACAAGTCAAGCGATTTAAGTCAAGAGATTTAGAGTCAATTTAGATTTAGAATCAAGAGAGTTTTAGTTGATGGAACTAGAGATAGATCCTTAGAGCAGCGACCATGATAGTATTTGTAGAAAAGAAAAAGAGATGCAACTTTACAATGATGGGAAAGAGGCTCAAACTTAGGAGGTAGAGCGAGTCTAACTACATTTACAATTTTTGGACCATATCTAGAAGAGAAAGAGCATTATTAGAAGAACCAGTCCAATTATGACAACAGTATTCCATACAGGGGCAAACAAGAGATTAATTAGGTTGTTAGAAAGATCATTAGTGTAGATAAAAAGCAAAACATGATCAAAGATAGAACCTTGAGATACCCCAGAAGTAACTGGAAACAAAGAAGAGTGTTGGCCTTCAAGGATGACTTTAATAAAGCGGTTAGAAAGACGATTTGATAATCTCAAAAACTTTCCCAAATACACCATAGGAAACAAGCTTATGGAGAAGATCAGCTTATGAAGAAAATCAGCTTTATGGAGAAGACCAGCAAGTCAAACTTTATTGAAAGCTTTATTAGTTAAAAAATTATTAATTTTGATATTATTTAAAATAGTATAGTAGATTGTTTATATAAAAAGGCAATGACAAAACCTAAATAAACTCTTATTTAGAAATAGCTTTTTTTGTGGGGGAGAAGAAATTTATTAAAGGTAACATCCACTTTCCTTTCTCCCTCCCTCCCCCCCCCCCCCCACCCACACACACACCACACACTTTAAAACAGGTGCATTGACAATTATTTTTAAATATCTGTTTGTCTTCAATTTGTTTAGTTTTATCCAAGATAAAGAGTTAATTTAAAATTCTCATTGTAAAAGGCTTTGAATAAATGAATTGAGTTATACATATGCTACTTATAGTTACGCTAAGAAAAATAGTTTTTTTTTTTAAGATGTTAATAAACGTTCAAGTTGCAATTACTGCACTATTTGTAAATATTTATTAAAAGTTGTTTAAAGTATTTTAAATATTTTTAATTTTAAGTAGTTGTTAAATGTTTAAAATACTTTGAACAATTTTTAATAAATATACACAAATAGCATAGTATTTTGCAAAAAAAAAAAAAAATAGTAATTGCGCTTATTAAACGTCTTGCCTTCAAATAGTTATTGTCTATATTAAAAACGAAAATATATCGCAATTTATATACAAAACATACAAAAAAAATAAAAATTTTAATAAATAAAACCATTATTTTACATTTTACAATGATTTAAATATAACTAAAGGTAAATAAATTTTATAGTGCTTTAAAGGGCCTAAAATAAAAGAGATTTATTACTAAGAAGCTTATTATTAAAAATGTAAGTTACATTTACTTTAGATTTTTTTAAACATTAAACACATTTAAGTTTAAAAATAACTAAAACTTGATGTCCTTTATTAAATTATTGTAATCATTATTTTTATTACTATTATTAAATTCAAGAAGAACATAAAGAATTAAACAAAACTTTTTAAAAAAGTAGTTTTATTGATTTTTTGTTTTCTTAACGTAAAATAAAATAGAATTTCAATTAATCATTCATTAAAAAACTAAATTTTCACGTTTACTATATTGTTATCAAGAAATATATTTACTTTTGTTTATTTCTTATTAAAAATTTTTATTTGCTAACAAGCAAAAGTTAACTTTAATTTGAATGAGTATTTTAAAAATTGTTCTATATTTCAAATAATATAATTTTTTCATACATTCCAATAAATGAACCAGTTAAAATAAAAAAATTGATTATTTCCTACTACATTTTGATTTTTTTTTATGCATTTTCAAAGGTAAAACAACAATTAATAAATATTATTTGGATTGTTTGGGTGCTCATACAGTTTCAGTGGTACCAAAACAGGTCTGTGTTTGACCCTGATTGAGCTTTATAAATAATTTTTTTGTGGAGAAAATCAAAGAACATGTCTTATAATGATATTAGATGCTATTTGATGGTAATACAATAGAGTTATTTTTATATATAATGTATATAAATACAATAGTGGTTTTTTTTACTTAGTTTCAAAATTTTTTAAGTTTTCAAAAGTTTTGTTAACAGAGGCGTATTTTTTTTGCTTGTTTATCTTGTAGTCCTTTGACTAGAATTTTTTTTTAAACATTTTTTTGTATTTTGGTTATATTTACTATCTTGCTATAGTTACTATTTGCGCTTTGGAAATCTTGATATATTCACGTTTTACATTAACCAATTCAAACCACACTTTCAATTGCAAATCAATATTTTGGTCTTTAAAATAAAAATGGTACATGTACTAATAAAATAGTTATATAAAAATTGTTGGTATTACATTGTAGAACATTAGTGTAGCCATTGATTTGAAATATTGAAGTAGCCATTAATTTAAAAATAGTGATTGAATATCACAGTAATCAGTGACGCTTTGAGGTATAAGTCAGGCTTTTCCAGGAAAGGCGTGCGGTCGCACGCCTTGTTTGTCCATGCAAAGAATAAATTTTTCTGACTAACTGACCACATTTTATTATTATGCGTTTCAAGAATTCGCGCCAAAACAAAACTAAACGAAAATATCGCAAAAATGCAAGCAATCTTAAAGTAAATAAAAGAAATCTGTTTGTGCTTTCAAAATTAAAAATTAATGTATATTAAAAAAAAAAATTTACCTTTATTTTATTTATTTTTTTTTGTTTTTGTTTTTTAGGGCGGTAGTTATTTTAGCTATGAAAAATCAAATCAATAAAAAAAATAAAATCAATAAGAAAAATCATATCAAAAAGAAAAAGATTATTGTTTAATGAAAATGAAATGACCTTTTAATGTAAAATTTGTTTATGACTTTTATCAGTCAGTAATACTTTAAAATTCACGATAGAACTTTAATTAATTTTTAAATGTTTTGTAAATACATTTAAATGTATTGATACGCAAGAAAGCGCAAAAACGATTTATTTGTAAAATATGTTTATTTTCAATTTTCAAATGAAAGAAAATTTTATTGTCAAACAATTGGGTTGCTTATTTTGCAATCATTAATTGACATTGTGAACGAGTGTTAATATATAATAATGTCCCGAATGAACTGTTTTTGTAACAATGACAACAGAAGCAATGCAATTATTTTTTTAACTTCTTTCGTAATTACAAAATTATGCAATTGAATAATTTCAACGTACTAAAAGGCGAGCATTGACTCAGTATAATCAGTTTAGAATAAGTCGAAAGAGAACTTTTTTCACATTAAAATTTTGTTATCTTTAAAATCTCAAATAATATATTTATTAATTAAAACAGCAATTTATTTTCTCGTCTAAGTATTGGAGAATAAAGTCATCGCCTTTGCATAAACCTTCGTAAAAACTAAATTAAATAAAAAAATTTAATCAAATTTGTCTAGCCTAAATAATGAATCAGTTTTTTAATACATTGTCTGATAAAGTTAGTGAATAAATTACATATCAAGTCTTTTTATTTTTGTGAAAACTTTATGATTTGTTGTCGTCTTTGCCTTGACTTGTATCAAATTTCGTAGCTGAAAATAGCAACCCTAAAAAAAGAAAACAAAAACAGTATAAAAATTTTGAAAAAAATGTTCATGACTTTTTTTTTTTTTTGTTACAAGATTATTTTTTTTTTTAGTTTTTTTTTTATTATCAAAATATTTTTCTTACATCTAATTTCAATTTTATACGCTGTTTAGACTTCGTTTCCTTTTTTAATATTATTTTTTATTCTCTGTGGATAAGTTCCGCTTTCCCACAAAATATTGCCGCGGTCACGTTTTCTGAAAAATTTATTCTATGCATGGACAAACAAGGCGTGCGACCGCACGCCTTTCCTGGGAAAGCCTGATAAGTAGCAAAAAACTTACAAAATTTAAGCTAAAATTGCCATAAAAACTTAACCAGTTAACCAATCAGACGAAATTTTATCTAGCATTTAATTTGGCTAAAGGGTGGTTCTCATTCTGCAGGTGTTTTTTTTGGCATGAAGTTGAAATTTCACTCAGTTTAAACATTCAAATTAAGTTTTTTTCTGTAGACAATATTAAAAGATTTTAAAATTTGTACCACAGGATACTTTTATATGTATGTTATCCTTCCATATAAACAGAATTTTTATGTCAGCTAATTTGGTATTATTAGGATCCATGACAACCGTGATTGTTAATCCTTTGCTTTATGTAATTGTTTTGCATCAAAACAGAAACTGCTAGAAACTTTAATGTTGCATTAATTTTTGTTATTATATTTTAATAGTTTTCTAGCATTTTTTATTTAGTTATTATTTTTAATACGTTTAAGTTGTATTTAATGACAATTTTTGTGGATTAAAAAATTGTATAAATTTAAATGAAAATTTTGTATGAACAGTTTTTATTTACTATAAAGATCTTTTAATTATTTATTTTATTTTCAGTATTTCTTCTGTGGCAAATCTAGGCTTTTACATAGTCAAACTATTTTTAAGTTTATTGTGTCTTGTTCTATAAAATAAAAAAAATTTTAAGTAAAGTTTGTTTAATTCAGTATGTTGGAGAGAGTGAAAAAGCTGTTCGCCAGGTTTTTCAACGTGCAAAAAACTCAGCACCGTGTGTAATATTTTTTGATGAGATTGACGCTCTCTGCCCAAGAAGGTCCGAAACTGGTGATGTATGTTTTTTTTTGTTTTTTTTATCTTTTTTTTTTTCAAATCATAATTTGTAATATTAATATTTGGTCAATCAAAAACCTTTATCATATTGCACTGTGTATATAAAATGCATTTTAACATTTTGTTCAAATTGTATATATACAATATATTTTAGCATAAATACTAACTCTGTATATTCAATATATTGTATAATTTGCGTAGAGAGTATTTTTTTTATGCAATTTTTAGAAACAGATAGACAATTTAAAAAATAACTTCATTTGATTAAACGATGGATTGAAGAATTAGTTGTTAAAATACTACTGTGTATTTAGATCTTGGTGGTACTATTATATTCTACACTTTACTCTACAATAGTCTAACACTTTTTTCAGATGGTACTATTGTATTCTACACTTTACACTACAATAGTCCAACACTTTTTTCAGAAGATACTATTGTATTCTACACTTTACACTACAATAGTCCAACACTTTTTTCAGATAGTACTATTATATTCTACACTTTACACTACAATAGTCCAACACTTTTTTCAGATGGTACTATTGTATTCTACACTTTACACTACAATAGTGCAACACTTTTTTCAGATGGTACTATTGTATTCTACACTTTACACTACAATAGTGCAACACTTTTTTCAGATGGTACTATTGTATTCTACACTTTACACTACAATAGTGCAACACTTTTTTCAGATGGTACTATTGTATTCTACACTTTACACTACAATAGTGCAACACTTTTTTCAGATGGTACTATTGTATTCTACACTTTACACTACAATAGTGCAACACTTTTTTCAGATGGTACTATTGTATTCTACACTTTACACTACAATAGTGCAACACTTTTTTCAGATGGTACTATTGTATTCTACACTTTACACTACAATAGTGCAACACTTTTTTCAGATGGTACTATTGTATTCTACACTTTACACTACAATAGTGCAACACTTTTTTCAGATGGTACTATTGTATTCTACACTTTACACTACAATAGTGCAACACTTTTTTCAGATGGTACTATTGTATTCTACACTTTACACTACAATAGTGCAACACTTTTTTCAGATGGTACTATTGTATTCTACACTTTACACTACAATAGTGCAACACTTTTTTCAGATGGTACTATTGTATTCTACACTTTACACTACAATAGTGCAACACTTTTTTCAGATGGTACTATTGTATTCTACACTTTACACTACAATAGTGCAACACTTTTTTCAGATGGTACTATTGTATTCTACACTTTACACTACAATAGTGCAACACTTTTTCAGATGGTACTATTGTATTCTACACTTTACACTACAATAGTGCAACACTTTTTTCAGATGGTACTATTGTATTCTACACTTTACACTACAATAGTGCAACACTTTTTTCAGATGGTACTATTGTATTCTACACTTTACACTACAATAGTGCAACACTTTTTTCAGATGGTACTATTGTATTCTACACTTTACTCTACAATAGTGCAACACTTTTTTCAGATGGTACTATTGTATTCTACACTTTACACTACAATAGTGCAACACTTTTTTCAGATGGTACTATTGTATTCTACACTTTACACTACAATAGTGCAACACTTTTTTCAGATGGTACTATTGTATTCTACACTTTACACTACAATAGTGCAACACTTTTTTCAGATGGTACTATTGTATTCTACACTTTACACTACAATAGTGCAACACTTTTTTCAGATGGTACTATTGTATTCTACACTTTACACTACAATAGTGCAACACTTTTTTCAGATGGTACTATTGTATTCTACACTTTACACTACAATAGTGCAACACTTTTTTCAGATGGTACTATTGTATTCTACACTTTACACTACAATAGTGCAACACTTTTTTCAGATGGTACTATTGTATTCTACACTTTACACTACAATAGTGCAACACTTTTTTCAGATGGTACTATTGTATTCTACACTTTACACTACAATAGTGCAACACTTTTTTCAGATGGTACTATTGTATTCTACACTTTACACTACAATAGTGCAACACTTTTTTCAGATGGTACTATTGTATTCTACACTTTACACTACAATAGTGCAACACTTTTTTCAGATGGTACTATTGTATTCTACACTTTACACTACAATAGTGCAACACTTTTTTCAGATGGTACTATTGTATTCTACACTTTACACTACAATAGTGCAACACTTTTTTCAGATGGTACTATTGTATTCTACACTTTACACTACAATAGTGCAACACTTTTTTCAGATGGTACTATTGTATTCTACACTTTACACTACAATAGTGCAACACTTTTTTCAGATGGTACTATTGTATTCTACACTTTACACTACAATAGTGCAACACTTTTTTCAGATGGTACTATTGTATTCTACACTTTACACTACAATAGTGCAACACTTTTTTCAGATGGTACTATTGTATTCTACACTTTACACTACAATAGTGCAACACTTTTTCAGATGGTACTATTGTATTCTACACTTTACACTACAATAGTGCAACACTTTTTTCAGATGGTACTATTGTATTCTACACTTTACACTACAATAGTGCAACACTTTTTTCAGATGGTACTATTGTATTCTACACTTTACACTACAATAGTGCAACACTTTTTTCAGATGGTACTATTGTATTCTACACTTTACTCTACAATAGTGCAACACTTTTTTCAGATGGTACTATTGTATTCTACACTTTACACTACAATAGTGCAACACTTTTTTCAGATGGTACTATTGTATTCTACACTTTACACTACAATAGTGCAACACTTTTTTCAGATGGTACTATTGTATTCTACACTTTACACTACAATAGTGCAACACTTTTTTCAGATGGTACTATTGTATTCTACACTTTACACTACAATAGTGCAACACTTTTTTCAGATGGTACTATTGTATTCTACACTTTACACTACAATAGTGCAACACTTTTTTCAGATGGTACTATTGTATTCTACACTTTACACTACAATAGTGCAACACTTTTTTCAGATGGTACTATTGTATTCTACACTTTACACTACAATAGTGCAACACTTTTTTCAGATGGTACTATTGTATTCTACACTTTTTCAACACTTTTTTTTCAGGGAAAAAGAAAGAGTAATGAAAACAAAAAATGAATTGAAAAAAAAATATTTATTTTTCCTTTTTTTTTTAGGTTATTATTATATGTAGTAAAAAATATACACTGATGTCCTGGAAGGAAATCCTAGTAAGATGTATATAGGACAAGATTAAAACCATGGAGCGTGATAAAACCAGGGAGCACTGGTAGTGACCTATTTTGAATGTAAAATTATGATGAAAGTAAAAATAAGATGCAGAGTGAAAGAGTTTTAAAGAGAATTATCAAGATTAACATAAATATAATAAATTACAAAATATATAATGAAATACAAAAACTGAAACAAAATTTTAAAACATGCATGATTTTTGCAATCAAAACTTTTTGCCATTAGCTTGCTGTTTAAAGTTTAGCTCTAAATAAATAAACTATTTTCAGTTTTAAGTTGTTATAATGGCAATAGGATTAAAATCATGTTTTCTTGAATTGATTTTGTGTTTAAAAGTATTTATTAAAAACCATACAGTTCATTAATTGATCCAAATATTTTCTGAAAGCTAACAAATCTTTTTATTATCTTTGTATTATGTCACAGTTGTTGTCATACTGTTCAGAATTAACAAATAGTTAAATAAAAAAAGAACTACTTAAGAAAATAAAATTTTTGACATTTATTATTTATTAATAAATGTCAAAAATAGTTCTTGTTTATGTTAAATGTTTATCTATAACCAATACGTTGTATGTACTTAAACACTTATCAATACCTATTTAAGAATAGCATTAAATGTTTTCAATAAAAGATATAGTTTTATATGTTTAGATATAAAAACAAGTTTTGTTTTGACCAGTATAAAATTTACTGTACCACTTTTGACTGTAGTGGTCAGAACAGAAAGTAATATGTCAAATGAACATGTCAAATAAATCAACTCCAGTCATTTTTTTTTTACTTTTTGACAACATCTGAACATAAAATAATGATGAATATCACTTATGTAATCACTTGGTTGAAACCCACAAATTTATTGTACTCCAGTTGCTTTATTGTCCTAGAAAAGAAAGTTCTGTGTAACTTATGCCATATTGAGCAAATGTATTTTTTTCCGGTTGGCTAATATGTTTTTAGATTTTACAATGTTCTTTAGCAATTTACAGACTACACAACTGCAGAAAAAACTTTTAAAAATAACTCATGGGGTTATCATTAAAGAATCATGTACCAGTTAAGCTCTCAGAATTAGGGTTGGCATTTAGCGATGCCAATCTTAAAGTGTTTAAGGTTGGAAAAAAATTGCTGACCTACTTTCTATGTTTTATGATAAAACCTTTGTGTCAACTTATTTTTTGTTGACCTTAAGGTCAGCAATAAATTCCCGGCCTCATTTTTCCAAACTCCAAGGGCTGCAGTTGATGCTAATAAAAATAGTTTTTTAATAACTTATATTAAAGTATCATACCTTTGGAGGATTATCCAATAAAAATAATTAATTGAATATTATCCAAATCACAATATGGTTTAAAAAATCATTTTTTTTACTGAGTGTGAACAATATATTACTTAGGATCAAAATGGTATTGAGATAAATGTAAAACAACATAATTAAACATTTGTTATTTATATTGCAAATACGCACTACCAGGTTTAAGTATTTGTAATGGTTCCAATTGGAACTACTGTTGGAAGTGAAAGCATTAACACCCAAAGGTTTATAACTCGTAATATTGTGAATAAGTTAAAGAATCTGTTAAACAAAACATCAAGTTAAAAAAGCGCAGTACAAACTTCACAAAAAATCCTGCACATGTGATATAACTCTTTGTTTTAATAATCTCTTTGTTCACCTTCAGTGCAAACATAATCTGTTGCAGTTTTTACTTAATTCAATAATTTTTATTTAATTCAATAATTTGCTTTTGGAAATATTGTAAATTGTACTTTATTTTAGTCAAGTGCAAGTTCTCGTGTTGTTAATCAACTGCTTACTGAAATGGATGGATTGGAAACAAGGAAAAATGTATTTATTATGGGAGCTACAAACCGACCTGGTAACTTGTTTTGTAAAATATGATTTAGTGAGGGAACATCATGAATATGTTTTTTTTTAATGTTTTTGCAATTTAAGAAATAAATATATTTTTTCAATGATTTAGTTTATTTTTAATTTTTAGATATTCTTGATGCAGCCATATTACGTCCAGGTCGTCTAGATAAATTGCTATATGTTGGTCTACCTAATCCAAGTGATCGAAAGAAAATTTTAAACACAATAACAATGGTCTGGTATTTTTTATGATTTTTTTTGTTTAGTTTTTCTCTGATTAGTTTCAATAACAGTTATGTGAGAAATGTAAAAATTAATAACTTGAAAAGCATAGAACAATGGTTTCATGTAAAAATATTTGTAAATTCTTTGTATTGTTTAGTTCAGTTATTTTATTAATAAACATTTTGGTTTACAAATTCTTCAACACATTTTGTAAAGTTTCTAATTTTAGGAATATTATCTTGATTTTAGTTCATATGGGGACCCCACACATTAATTCATTTCACATGGAGACCTCATACATTTATTCATACAGTTATATGGGGACGCATCCCATACATTGATTCAGTTCATATGGGGGACCCATCCCATACATTGATTCAGTTCGTATGGGGACCCCATACATTGATTCAGTTCATATGGGGACTCCATACATTGATTCAGTTTATATGGGAACCTATCTCATATAAACTGAATTATCCCATTGATTAAAGGCAAAATAAAAGTGACTTTGCAAGTTTGATTGTGCTTTTCTCTGTTGCTGCTGGTTATCCTTATATTTTGATTTAAATTTATATCTGGAAAAAAAAAATTTCATATGGAAGTATCGGTGACAGCCTTTATAAAAAAACTTGTCCTATGAAGTTTTTTTTTACATCTTCACTTCCAACTAAGCTGCAAGCAACCACTATTAGAGTTGGAAGGTACTCGAAGAGAAAAGATAAAGTTTATAAAGCAAGTTAACGATTAACAGATGAAACAAGAAGGAGGGAATTCTAAAGAACTGTTTGAGAAAAAAAACTAGATAAAAAAGAATTTTTAGAGCACTTAAGAACAGTCACAGTAAAAAGGTGAAACCTAGTTAAATGATGAGTAACACGAGAATGAATTTTAGTAGATGGCACAAGAGACCCTAGCTATTTAGAGCAGCACTTATTATAGTATTTATTGAAAAGAGAAAGAGAAGCAACATTACCTAGATGTGACAATCATTGAATGTTGGCTGCAAGACCAGGTCAACTATGTTTACAATATGTTTTTGTGCCTTGTCTAAAAGAGAAAGGGCTTCATTCGAAAATCTGCTCCAGATATGGCAATAGTATTACATACAAGGACAGATTTGAGATTTATAGAGATAAAGAATAGAATCCGGAGTAAGAAAGTGGCAAGCAAGAAAAAGAGATTTTCAGATGTTATTTTAGCAATAGATTTGATATATGGTTTCCAAGAAAGATCAGAAGTAAAAGTTAATTCTAAAAGACGAAGAGTAGAGTACATTACAGTTCATAAATATTATATATATAATAGATTATAATATATAATAGATCTAGTTTTTTGCGATAACAATTAGCTAAAAAAAATTGAGTTATTTTGAGTTAAAGTTGATCAACCACTAAGAGCCTCATGCTGTAGCAAAGTGAGACCCTTTTCAAGCTTAAATTCCCCCTCTAAGCAATCAGAGACATTTCTTGTGGCTTCTTATGAAGAATCATAAGCAAACAATGCCACCTTAAATGTGAGAATTTCAGGGAGATTAATGTTAATGTAAATTAAAAAAAGTATAGGGCCAACAATAGAGCTTTGAAGAACCCCTGTAGTTACAGGAAATAAAGAAGAGTGCTATTCATGGAGGACGACTTTTATACTAGGATTGGTAATGAAAGATTCAATAATAATAAAGATGTTACCTGATACACCGTAAGAAGAGAGCTTATGGAGAAGACCAGTACACCAAACTTTATCAAAGGCTTTAGAAATGTCAAGATCGATAACCCTAACCTTTTCACATCTATCTAATGCACAATAAAACCTATCAGCTTTTACCATTAACAAATCAGTAGTAGAACGAGAAGATTGAAATCCATATTGATGATCAGAAAATTGGTTATTAAATTCAAGATTAAGTGTTTGTTAATTAAAGACTCAAAAACCTTGCTTATGATAGAAAGAGGACTAATGGGACGATATTCAGACAAGTCAAATTGCTCTCCAGAATTTTTGAAAATAGGGATAATAGATGTTGCTTTCCAGCAGATTGGAAAACAAGACTCTGATAAGCCCTTGTTAAATTGTTTTGAATGTATAGACAACAGCTCCAGAAAACGAGTCTAACCAGGAAATCACTTTAGATACAGAAGTTAGAGTGATAAAAATGTCAAGCAATGGAGCAACCTGTATTTCGGCTATATCAGGTAAGATGTGATTAGTGAAATCAAGAAATTAGATTGATGAAAAGTTCTTAGCAAACAATTCAGTTTTGTCTTTAAGTGTGGTAACAAAATCTGAACCATGTAAGTGAGGTGGAATAACAGATTTTATTAAGTGACCAGGGCCCCGGACCTGGCTATAAAAGAGACTTTTTGCAAACCTGGTCCTGGCAAAGTTATAAGATTTAGTAGGGGTTGATAGCCGGGGCTAGAAAAAAATTTATAATACTTTTTGTATTAGAATTTTATATTTACATTTACTATTTATTGCATACTGACATATATTTATATATTTTTTAACTCTAATTTACTTTCGACAAGATGCAATGAAGTTATGAGTTACTTTAAAATAGAGGACAGGTTAAAATACTAGAAAATGGTTAACTGAAGACTTTAAAAGTTGCAGTATGTATTAAAAATGAAAGCACAAAGATGGGGAAGATTTAAAAGAGTTTTTTCAATGTGCAAGGACAAAAAACTGAATTAATAAAAGTTTTTCAATGTGCTTTTAGACTTTGTCTGAGATTAAGTGGGTTTGTTATTTGTCAATATAGGAATGTCAACAATATTGCAATATTTTTTTGCTGTAAATAAATGAGTTTTGTAGCTTTAAAAAATTTAAATCCATAAGCCACAGCAAGCCTTAGGCTGTAACAGAAGAGAGTTCAGATTAAAAACCGGCGCATGTTCCAAACAATCAAAAAGATTTTTTGTCAAGACAAGAGTATAAAATTGAGTTCTTAACTAATAGAGGTACTTTAGATGTAAAATTTTCGTGAAGATTTTTATTGTAGATAAGAAACATTACAGGTGCAAAGATAGAACTTAGTAGTACCCTCAAAATTTCATTAAATAAAGTGGAATGTGGGCCTTCAAGAATAACTTTAATTCCACAGTTAGAAAGAAATATTTTTTTAATTTGTTAATAATTTATTAAAAACTTTATAATAAGTAATTAATAACAGAGTAAAGACTAATCGCAGGATAGTTTGAGAGTTCAAAGTGTTTTCTAGAGTTTTGAAAAATTGGAACCACTTTTTACTTACTTACACTTTTTACTAACTTATTTACAGTACGTAGCACTTTTTAAAAGTTTTACCAAAAATGGGAAAGAATTCTGGAGAACACTTTTTTAAGACTATGATGAAATTCTATTCTGTAGCAAATAAAAGTTTTTAGTTGAGAATAAACTTTAGCATTAAAAGCCATAGTGATTTTAATGTTTAACAATAGGTTAATCTGTTTAATTGGCAGGAAGAGTATGGCCATTAGATTCAAGAGTTGAATTAGAGTAAGATTTTTTTGCAAAAAACTCTCCCTTATTCTGGGGAGAAGTAAAAAGTCAGACCCATGAATTAGAGATGTTAGATTTACTTAAGTTAATGACACTGTTGAAGACTTACCAAAAGTCTCTAGATCTTAACATCTGAGATAAGAAACATGATTTTGTAAACTTAGAATAACAGAGCTTAACATCAGACAGGAACTTTTTACATTTGCTTCTTGGAATAATAAAAGGACATTTGTTTATAAGAGAGATGTTCTTGTAAAAAAGATGAAAAAAATGGTTGCTGTTTAAAAAAAGCAACTGCTCAAGATGGTAAAAAATGAGGAGTAGAGTGAGGCTAGACTTAATATTAAAGAGAAGGAATAGAAGCTTCCAAGCTTTTATTCCAGAAGGAATAAAAGCTTCCAAGATGTGCTTTATGCATACATAATATGGATGTAAACATATATTTTTGCTATTTATATAGATGCTGGCAAACAATATTCTTTCATATTTCATATTTAATAAACTTTAGTTTTTATATGGTGCAGTCTTTGTCAAAATAGAAGATGATCAGATGAATGCATGGTGTGACTGGTGTCACAAGCGTCTTATCGAACAACATCTGTTAGAGAAGATTAAAGTGATTTAGGTATCAGCATGTAGAGAGGTAGAAGCTTTAGGAGAAAATGGTAGTGGTAGAAGTAAGAAAACATGAAGAGAGTGCCTTATATATTGTATGAATGAGGTTTAGTTAAAGAAAGAAAATGCTTTAGATTATATTAGAAAAACAGCATAAAAGAGGAAAGCTAAAGCCTGATGATGACGACGACAATGATGATAATGATTATGATGATGATAATGATGATCATGTTCATGATCTTCATTATCATCATGATGATGGTTATGATGATTTTGCAGCCCCGGTTTGTGACCGGGGCTGCATAATTGTTTATGCAGCCCCGGTCACAAACCCGGCCCTTGCCCTGGCTATAATTTATCAAACACGACCCTGGCCCCGTTCAAATATCAACCTTGGTTATTTACTAACAGATTTTCACTTATTATAGGTGCTGTTAAAGGTTCTCTAGAAGTCATGACAGCCTAATTTTTGAGGTGAAATACGAGATTTTGTGAAATGATAATAGTGGGCTTAGTAAACACGTCTGTGTTCTAAAGAATTGTTTTGGCAATAGATATGGTTATGATTAGAAATTGCAGCAGCACAATGAGAGGAAATCCATGGAGAAGAGTAAAACTTGACTTGGAGTAATCTAGAGCGAATAAAAAATTCCATGTCAGACAATCCAAGAAATTACATGAGAAGCACATTTGTCAGCAGAAAGACAAAAGATTTTAACCCAAGAGCCATCACATAGAAAATCACCAAAAAGAGTCCCAGTCAGCCTTAAGGTAGTTGTAAGAGGTGTGATGACAGGGGGATTCCAGTGATAAAGAAAAATGAGATAATAGTTTTAGATAGAGAGATCAAATCGTGATCAGAAGCACTTTAGGGTGAATTTGGAGAAACTGAGCACTGACTAGGACCAGAAATATGACACAAGTCGAGTAGAGAAGGTAAATGATTCAGATTGTCTGAAAAGCAAGTTAGAAAGTTGACTATTTGTAATAGAGATTAAGAAAAGTCACTTACACGGGAACCAAGCCCATCAGTGTAATGAGGATTAAAGTCACCAACAACAACGATATTGGCTCAAGTGTAAATAGAAATGGGTTTGGTCAATTTAAACAGAAATAACATCAAAATAAGTGCATTCTTGAGATGAAGGAGAGTGATTTAGAACAAAGAGAAAGGTGATAGAGTGAAGTCACATTAAATAAAAGCAAATAATAAAAATAGTCTGTGGATTCAAACCTAGTTTTATTACAAATGGGTGAATTCTTACAAATGTAAATGCCCAGACCAAGCATGTGACTATTGGAGACTTTACGAATTAAAGGAAGATACCCATCAACACTAAGATCACAAGATGAGAAAGCTGAACTCAATTTTTCTCACAAAGAGCAAGTCGGTCTGGTGAATTTTGCAAAAGATAAGACTCAACAGGAGAAAAGTCACTTCAAAGACCATGAATATTATTGATAAAAGACCATAAATGGTATTTGTGTTTTATAGTTTTTGTTACTTTAGTCATTTTTTAAATTGCTTAACTTGATTCAAAGCATAGATAGCACTCAATACACTATCTAACAGTCCAAGTAATTGCCTAGTTACTACTAATAAACCCTAAGCTATAATGAAAAGCTTTAAATGTGGCCTCAACAATACACACCAAAATTATTAACACGGACACCACCCATGTGCATTATGGCACTGTTAAAACTTTTCAGCTGTTGATGGAATCAGCCTCTCTGAGAACTAGCACAGTGTTCTGAAAACCTGCCTACCAACTGGCCTTAGAACCATAAAACTGAGTTTTAGAGCTGCACCCTCATCAGGAGATGATAAAATGAGTTGCCTAGTCATAAAAACAGAGACAAAAGGAAAACCCATGCAATGTGTCAAGAAAATCCAGCATTCGTTATCCTAAATTGGAAACAATGTATTATGAATACATCTACACCAGCCTATTAGGTTACGAAGCTGGCTAACTGGTAGAATCTGTTTACCCCTTAAATCCTTGCCTAGGAGGCAAGACAGTAGCTGGATACAGTTAACATCTGCCCAAGATGAATATTTTTATTGAGATACCTTCTCTAGCCATTACACAATCAAAAGCCCTAAGGAAGAGGATTTTAATTTAGAGTTTGTTTCTCCTAGCTTTTGCATAAAAAAAGCAAACCCTACAAAGCAACAGGGCATGGGGCTAGTAGTACTGGGTTAAATTATACCATGCTATTTTACATTATACACATTACATCATAGATAAAGCATCTAGCTTTCAGATCATGGATGATCAAGATGATCCTGAACCTTACCTGACTAAAACATGACTATCTAAAATTCAAAAATATTGAACTTGTATGAAAAGTGCATAACCCTGCTAATGTACTAGATTTACATCAAATTGAGGATTTTGGTCTGAATTTAAAAGATTGCTGTATAATAAAGTCTTTAAAAACATAAAGTTTTCTATCAAGAAAATTGAAATAAAATGTGTAGATCAGCTAGCAGACATTCAAAAGACACTGTTTGTTGTCATAGAATGAAAAACTTTATTTAATTTTACTATTTAGACTTTTTTTTGTACTATTCAAGTTAATAAAATTGGTCATTACATAAAAAGTTATAAAGTTTAAATTTTTTTAGATAGTCATGTTATTGTAAGAAAACATTACATTGTTTAGAGAATCTTTGTGTGATGGTAAATCCAAAATAAATGCAATACCATTTTTGGTGACAAAAACAAAGCTAAAAAATTGTATAAAAGATCTATCAGATCTTGCTAATAGTGCATTGGAATCATAGCATTTGACTTTATGAAAGAATAAAACTGGGTAGAACTGACCTTGTTAACTAAATCTTTTTCAAGAATAAGTCTTATACTAAACATGAGGCAGTTCTTTTGAAATCACTTTTAAAAAAATGTTTTTTGGAGGCTAGTTTCCAATTGCTAAAAATCAAATCTTTTTTTATTGTGAAGTATTGGAGCATGTAATAAAATAGGTAAGCTCAAGTAATTACAAATAACATGCTGCAATGGGCAAAAGTCCTTGTAAATGAGGAAATAGTTTCTACACTGAAACATTTATATGGCTGTTATTTAGTATCTAATAGGTTGTTTTGTCAAGTATTATGTAATACAAGCTGATTTTAAAATTATTTCTAAAAAATTTGCAGGTTATTTTTTAAACTTGTACAAAGCTACAAATTTTTTTTTTATTATTTTTTGTTGTCGATATAAATATTGCTATTTTAAAGAAGATTTTGTTGGTGATTTAATTTATTGTTGGTGATGTAATTTATTGTTGATTAATATTACATTAAAATAAGCACAGTTAATGATTTAGAATATTTCTTTGTTTTAGTTTTATATTTTAATTGGGTTGATTCGTTTTGGTTCTAAAATTAATTATATTATTAACTTTATCCTTAATTTCAAATGATTATTAACTTTATCCTTAATTGCAAATGGTTATTAACTTTAATAACGCAATCTCCGCAAATTTTATAATAAGTAGTTCTGTATTCATTTTTTTAAATTATTATTTTTTTGTATTTATTTTATTACTATATATTTATATTATTATACAATTATAATTATTATATTGTATTATTATATTATTGTATTGTTGTATTATTATATTAAGGGGCATGCTTTGGCTCAAAACTGTGCTTTTGAGTTAATAACTCAACTTTTAAAAGACCTAGGCTGCATATGAAAAAATGTGTAAACAACCTAATGAAATTTGTACTATAGAATTATTTTATTTAACATTCAAAAAATAATCAAATATAGATGGTCCTCAGTCTGTTGAAGATGCTTAGCTTTTTGGTTATTCTGTAGTGACTTTTACCTTGGTTTGTGAGGGAAAAAAATGTCTGGGTAGGATAGCAATTTAAATAACTATTAAAAACATTATTTTGCTTTGATTTTGCCTGAAATGAAGTTTTTTGTGATTGCACAAAATAATGCTTACTGACTGCACTCTACCTACTTCCTTGATAATCTTCATCCAGGAAATTGTATTTGGTTATATAAAGCTTCAGCTTGATTCTTCTTACTAAAACCTTAATTTGTTTGTCACAAAATATAAAATCTGTTTAAAATAAAAATAAAAACATTAAGTGTCTTGATGCTGCTTGGTATACAAACATTGTTGGTGTTGCTTGGTATACGAATACTCCACCACAATTATTACAACTTAACAAGTAAGATAGGACAACTTCACAAGTAAGATAAGACAACTTCACAAGTAAGATAAGACAACTTCACAAGTAAGATAAGACTACTTTACAAGTAAGATAAGACAACTTTACAAGTAAGATAAAACAACTTCACAATTAAGATAAAAAAACTTCACAAGTTAAACTTCACAGCAAAGAATTAAAAAAGATAAAACATGTCAAAAGTGCCACCAAATCACAATCAATCAAACCCATTAAATCAATTTGCAATTTTAAGTAAAAATATGACAGTTGCTATCTTACCCAATCAGGTTTTGTTTCTACCAACCAACGAAGAAATCAACAAAAAAATATTGAATAATTAAAACAAGCATCTTCAATAGACCAAAGACCACCTACTGTTTGAAGCTAATCAAGTTAAACAGCATTTTTCTATTTCACACATTAGGTTGTTGTTTTTAACTCACTTTTTTCATATTCAGCCTAGATCTTTAAGAGCCGGTTACAACTTTAAAAACAAAAAACTTCCATACTTCCATGACCTACAAATTAGTCAGATATGAATCTAATTCAAAATATAAGGACAAATAACTTCTTTTTTTTTTTTTTTAACATCTTCACTTTCAACAAGGCTGCAAGCAACCACTAATTAGTGTTGGAAGTTACTGGAAGAGAAAAGATGAAGATTGTAGAGCAAGATAACTATTGACAGGCGACTTAAAAGATAGCAAATTATATGAATCAGGAAAGCAAGGTGAAGGAAGCGAATTCCAAAGAACTGATGTTCGAGGAAAAAAACTAGACGAATAAGAGTTTTTGGAGCACTTAGGAACAGTAACAGAAATGAGGATGAGACTTAATTGAATGACGAGTAACACGAGAATGAATTTTAGTAGATGGCACAAGAGACACTAGCTCTTTAAAACAGTGCCCATTATAGTATTTGTAAAAAAGAGAAAGAGAAGCAACATTACGACGATGTGACAGGTTAAAGGTTGGCTGCAAGAGCAGGTCCAACTATGTTTACAATGCATTTTTGCACCTTGTCTAAAAGAGAAAGAGCATCATTAGAAGATCCGTCCCAGATATGGCAACAGTATTCCATACAAGGCCGGATTTGAGATTTATAGAGATAGAGAATAGAATCCAGAGTAAGAAAGTGACGAGCTCGATAAAGAGAAGCAACTTTAGCAGATGCTAATTTTGCAACGGATTTAATATGAGGTTTCCAAGAAAGATCAGAAGTAAGAGTTAATCCTAGAAGATGAAGGAGGGTTGGAGACTTATCGAGTACATTACCGTTCATAAATATAGGAAGGTCTAAATTATTGCGATAACGATTGGCTGAAAAAAATTGAGTTTTATCTGAATTAAAGTTCACCAGCCACTGTGAGTTTAAATATAAATATAAATTTAATAGAACTTAAATATAAATATAAATAACTTAAATATAATGATAAAGAAGACTTCACAACACAAGTAAACTTGTAAGTTAAGTCAATGTATTAGATAATAACCCTAAAATATTTCACCGTTTACCATTAATTTATTAACTCTTAAAATAAATAAAATTTAATTGGAATCGATTATAATGTAATTTTAAGTAATAGAAATATTTTGTTTTTATCTAAAGAACGGAACAAAGCCAAAGATGGCTGATGATGTTACTATTGAAGTGATTGCTTCAGATCAAAGGTGTGAAGGATTTAGGTGTGTATTTATTTTCATATACTTTTATGAACAGAATTTTTTTTTGTATGTGTAAGTGTTTATATTAAGCAATATGCAATAAGCAATAAAATGAGTACAAGTTTTTTGAAATATGGTTGCAGTGGAGCTGATTTGAGCGCACTTGTACGCGAAGCTTCCGTTACTGCCTTAAAAGACTTCATGAAAAATAGTTTTAAAACTAGTTCTACATCTGTCTCAAATCCATCAACATCTGTCTCAAATCCATCAACAGATAGCGAGGTTTTAAGCGATGGTTACGAAGAGAAAAAAACGAGCGATGTTAGCGATACCTTTTTGTCGTCGCACCCCATCAACACTTCCAAAACTGAAGAAACAAAAAAGATTCTTGTATCTCGAGCTCATTTTGAAACAGCATTTGAAAAGGTTAAACCTTCAGTTTCAGGAGCAGTAAGTTGTTTTTTTTAATATTATTTAATTTATAGTGTGTAGAATCTTTTTCATGTGTGTGCCTACGCTCGTGTTAGTAAAATTTTTGAACGAATTATATTTATTAGAATTCAATAAAACCAGAGGATTGAGCTTCAGAGGATTGAGAGATTTAATAAATTTTGTTTAGGATCGAATATGGTATGACGATATGAAAAAGAAAAATATAAGAAAGTAAAAAAAAAAAAAAAAAAGCCATTCGAGCTGTTTTTAAAGTTTTACATCCATTTGTATTACGATATTATAAAGTAATATGCGTGAAAGGTAAAATGAAAAACAGTTTATGATGTCTATAAGTAAAATATCAATGTTTTATGTATACAAACGTTAAAGTATCTTTCATTGTATTGAATAACTTCTTTTTTTATCCTGCTTGGTATCTACAGTAATAGAATGTCCTATATTTTTACAAAATTCTCAACTTCCCCTCCTGCTAAAGTACGCTTTGGTACTGTCCAGACTCTAATACATTAATTATATATTTCAATATGTTTTTTTTTAAAAAGAAAACCCACAAAGTAGAATATGTACTTGATATTATGATACAAAAAATCCTTTTAGTGGGATACACCCATAGGTTTTGAAATATGTAGAAGTTTTTCTTCTTTTCAATTAATATTTCAAAATTATTGATGGTTTTAGTATTTTGTATGCATATATGCATTTTTTTATGTTATTAAATTTATCGCGCCAAAGATCTTGTCGAATCCTGGGATCACCTTGATCATTCATACAAACAGACTTTTCCTTCGTGATGGAGTTAGAGAGCTACCTCTATATTTTGTTAGACTTTCGCAATTTTTTTTTTTTTCTGTTTTTTTTTTATCTTTAAACTTTATTTTATCTAAAAACTTTCCTGTTTAATATAAAAAAAATTTATTTTATACTTAAAAGTTTATTTTATACTTATTTTAAAAACTTAAAAAGATATGGAGATAACAAACTTTAAAAAGATATAGAGATAACAAACTTAAAAAATATGGAGATAATAAACTTAAAAAAGATATGGAGATAACAAACTATATAAATAGTTATTCCTTTATTTAAAAAACACATTTTTTTTTTGCCTTTTTGAAAAAAGAAATTTCAATATGCGTGACATAATTTTTTTTATTTGAATTAATTAGAATTATTCAATTTATTACAATTAAGTAGAAAACTATTACAATTTATTTGTTTTATATATTTAATTCTTTTTACATTTTTGTGAAATACATTTTAAACGTCTACAAGTTTTATTGATTTCGCATGTATGTTAAGGTTTTAAAAATAGGTACAAATGTAAAAAAAAAAAAAACTATGTTTAGTCACCGTTAATTTTTGACCAGCTTGTTAAGAGCTTTTTAATTTTAAGGGATATTTGCATAATTTGCGTGTTTGTAGCACTTTTTACAAACATGTATGCAATATGATTTGATGGCTTTTTTACATTTTAAATGATATCTTACAAGAAAATTTTTAATTTAATAACTTTGTAAAACTAAGTGTATACCAAACATCCGGAATTCTAGGTAATACTGTAAACTTTTAGTTTTTCCGAATTTCAGACTTAGTGAGCAACATCACCTCCTAAGTTTAAAAAGATCAACCTGAAGTCCTGCCATGATTTTCATGCCTTTTCTCTGATAAAGAATGTAAGAAAGTAAGCTGCAGTCAGTAAGCAGTTTATACGGCTCCAAAAATCTTTAAAGCTAATATTGACTCTAAAATTCTAAGCTTCCAGTTAAAATATCGGACATAATAGCATCTGTCATACTATTTGGATTGATTAGAAAAGTGCTAGAAAAAACAAAATAAACTAACCAGAAAGCAGCTGAAAAATAACCAAAAAGATGTTGAAATTGCTATCTGACCCAATCAGGTTTTGTTCCTTACAAATCAGGAATAAAAACTTTTAATTGACCCAAGACCACCTATATTTAATCAATATTTGTCAGTAACCAATTTGAATTATTTTATTGTGCACAATTAATGTTTATAAGGCTGTTATATTTTACTCGTACTTTTTCATTTTCAGCCTAGATCTTTAAAATAACTTTTATACAAAACAAAAAAACTTTTTTTCTTTTATGGCCTAGAAATTCACCCGTTATAAATCCAACTCAAAATATTATATTATTCAACATACGGAGAACTTCACAACACTAACTTGTAAAAATCACATTAAGTCAATGTATGAACAAATGGCCCCGATATTACAAAAATGTCCCAAAATTTAAAGAGTAGCAGGCCAAAATGAGTTGAACAGTTAGTTAAGCCAAAACTCGCATCAATAATTTATGAGCAGCCGTGGCGCAGTGGTTAGAGTTCTAGCTCAGAACCCAGAGGTCCGAGGCTCGACGCCTTCTCTAGCCTAATAAGCGACATTGGTAAGGAAGGAGGCGTGAACTTCTAGTTAAATGCTTTTCCGAGGTGCTCCGTGATAAGACTGTAAGGACTTCTGGGAGCTCCTAAATAACAAAATATAAATATATAAAGGGCTTTAAACAAAAGAATTTACAATTTTATTCATAAAAACAATTAGGGTAGTATGATAACTTAGCGGGTTTTTTGTTCTAAGATTTTTTGATTACAAAAATGTTTTAGAAAATAATTATGTTTAAACTGTATCTATCAATTATTATCTTATTTATTATGTTTAAACTTTATCTATCAATTATTATCTTATTTATTATTTTTAAACTTTATCTATTAATTATTATCTTATTTATTATTTTTAAACTTTATCTATTAATTATTATCTTATTTATTATTTTTAAACTTTATCTATTAATTATTACCTTATGTATTATTTTTAAACTGTATCTATTAATTATTATCTTATTTATTATTTTTAAACTTTATCTATTAATTATTATCTTATTTATTATTTTTAAACTTTATTTATTAATTATTATCTTATTTATTATTTTTAAACTTAAACTTAACTATTTAATGATTTGATGTTACGATTTTTTATTATTTTTTTTAAAACAATAAAGCTCTGCTTCAATTATAAATTTTTTGGTTACTTGCTGATATTTTTGGGTTTGCTCCATATTTCGTGCGTGTGTACTCAATATGTATGTATGAATATACGCGCGCACAATTGACATTATATGCATAACTATTACACGCACACGCATATTTATATTATGGGTTCCATATGGTAATTCCCACATGGGATAAACGTGGGCTTTTTTCGTATGTAACCCATGTGGGGATTATTATTTTGTCCAATGTGTTTTGTTTTTTTGTTGTAGTTTTTACATTCATGTTTCCACATTTGAGTGGTTTGGATTGCTCTCGATAGCGACATATAAATGCCGTTATGAAAGAGTTAAAGCAATCTTTTACAACCGCACGCCCTTCCTGATGTTAACATGCAGCAAGTTGTACTAGATTACATGTTACAAGTAGCAGAATAACTTGACCTGAGGGTCAGCAAATCTGGGTTATATATGGTAAATTCCACACAGGTTATAGGTTGAAAATACCACATGTTTTATAGATCTTAAATGACACATATTCTAATGCAAATGCTTTAAAGTAGCGAATACCATATAAATGAAACATCAAAATTAATCACGGAAGCTTTCAGAGAGGCTTAACTTTATCTAGTATTAGCTACTTTATGCTATTTAGTAACAAATATATGCGATGTTCTCCACAAATAATGTGGGATTTACCAAAAAGTATTATAACAAAATTGTACAAAATTAAAAAACGTGTTGCAAAATGAATTTATATTTAAATAATAGCTATTAATAAATACATTAAAAAGAAACGTGAAAAATATTATTTGTTTTTTTGTGATTTACACGCTTTTTGTCGATTCAATAAAGTAAATCACCTTAGCTCGCTCAATGCTAAGTTTTTACCATATTAAGAAAAACTACTTTCTTCAAGCATTTCCTAAAATATATATATATATATATTCATCTACAAATAAAAATAAATTTTAATAAAAACAAATATCAATAATAACCTCAATCAACCTAAACTAAATGGTTATTATAGATTAAAATAATAATAAGAACAATCGTAATTAAAAGCCTTATTAGTTAAGAGCAGTTTTAATTAAGAGCCAAATTGAAGTCATTAATGAATTCAACTAGGACTTTATTTCACACATAATTAATTCTTAATTTATTAGTTACGATGACTAATGTATTATGGATAATTTGACAAGAGCTTGCATCCGTTCATGAGAATTTAATTTGAGAAAAAGTGCTCAATTAGGAAAAGTCATTAAACAAAAAAAAAAAATATGTAAGAACCTACTTTACAATAATGTACACATTAAGTGCAATAGACACTTGATGCAATAGTATCTATACTTTTTTGTCACAAATATTATAATATTTTGAAACCAATCAACAAACATCTAAATTTCCATAAGAAAATTTATTCCTAAATCGTTGTCCTCATATCCTACCTTATTTTCATATCATAATTTATTGTGTTATAAATTATATAACACATCTAAACAAAATTATTAAATTTGTGATTTTCGGATATATATATATATATATATATATATATATATATATATATATATATATATACATATATATATATATATATATATATATATATATATATATATATATATATATATATATATATATATATATATATATATATATATATATATATATACATATATATATATATATATATATATATATATATATATATATATATATATATATATATATATATATATATATATATATATATATATATAAAGCACCTTGATTACAAGACAAGATGTGATATACTTGGACTAACCTCACTAAGTGACAGAAGAAAATGTGGTGACCTTATCCAAAAATTCAAAATTGAAAATAAACTGAATTAATCAACTGGCATATTGACCCAATATACATTCCTCCCATCTATGGTCATCACAAACGCTTTCATCTCGAAAATAATAGCAACTGTCTCGTTCGACTTTTTCAACAATCAGGTTGCAAATACTTGAAATGCTCTGACGGATGATGTTGTCAACGCCTCTACTATTGACAGTTTCAAAAAAAAACTAGACCAGCAACTCACAGTTACCACAGTGCATCATTTTCCGTGGCTGTATTATTGGAGCTATACAAGCTAGCTTCCTAGCTAATGATGAACTTACGGTTCATATCTGTACCGTGTAACTTTAATTGTAATTGTAATTAATATAACAAATACAATTTAATGCTCATACTATATATATATATATATATATATATATATATATATATATATATATATATATATATATATATATATATATATATATATATATATATATATATATATATATATATATATATATATATATAATAAATAATGTACATTTTAAGATTAATTTAAGATAATTATATG